CTGACCGTCGGATAAAGGGAGTTGCGATTGGAGAGAGGGGAGAGGAAGAGGAGGAAGGAAAGGATTAGGGCTAGTTAAATTAAATGTTATGACCTGGATGTCAAATAGCAGCACATCAGTCTGCTGTACCGTGGCAATCGTTGCTGTTTACTATAAATGTGAGTGACAGGTCTAGTCAATTGGAAAGGGAGTTTTTTTTGGGAAGGCAAATTCTAAATTTTTTTTTTAAACGATCCCTGAACCCCCTTTTAAGGGTAGAAAGTGATGAGGTGTCAGTGGTAAGGTAGCCACCTTTTGACATCACCAACAGTATAGATACTGCCTTCTTTGTCCAGTTGACTGCAAGCGCGGCTGTTCACTCTCTTATTGACAATTTCACGGACATATGCCTGCAGGGATACTTTAACTGTCGGGTATGCAAAGTTGATAGTCGTCTAGGCAACAATTACTATCACCTAGTAAGTTACTGGTCGTGCAAAGGCCCATCTGATCACCGGCCTAATCAAGCTTCTAGATAAGGAGGAAAAGGCAAGTAGGCTGTTATTGGGTTTCCAACTTCCCCTAGTTTGCTCGAGCAGATGACCGGAGTTAGTGGTCGAGTAACTGCATTTTGGGAATCTGATTTAATAGCCAATTGATTGATGTCATCCGTCAGCAGGTCACTATTTTACCAGCCGATTAATGAAATGAGGTGGCCCGAGGTCACCTTTAAGATTATAAATTGCATAACTAGTTACCCCTTCTCCTTCATGTCACCTGTCTGCAATGATGAATAAGCCGTCAAAAGCCCACCTACTGTAAACAAATCACTTTGGTGTGTCTCGTTGTTAGAGCTTAAAAGTGGCCTACGTGCACAAACCAAATTATCCAGAGCAGTGATGGACCAATCACACGCCCCGCAACCTGATCCGCGCAATTTGTAAGACTTCACGACTTTCATTGGTTGGTCGTCAAACGAGGTGTTAATATTTGACTCCGGAGCTGAGGCTATTCATTCCCACCAAATAATGGGTCGTGGTCACGACTGTTGTTGTACCAGTCGACATCGCGGTGTAGATGATGATGACTTGGAATTGGCAGACGCCTCACACCCTCGTTTGCGATACAAGTGTCTACGAAAGTTTCTTGCCATTACTTGCTCTCAATTAGGTCTTCTGGTACTCATTATACTTTACCTCGTTGGTGGCACGTTCCTTTTCACCTTTCTGGAGCGAGAGCATCAACAAGCGCGTCTGAATAGTGGGATTACAGAGGTGAAATCCACTTTTGAAGAACTTACTGGAGGAACGAATCGAATCAGACGAGACCTTAGGCAGGAAACAATGCCTACACCTCAACAAATGGCTTTTCAGTGTGTCGATCTTCAATTGCAAACTCTTCAAAATGAAGTACAGCGGTTTCAGAACAACCAGACTCAAAAGTATCTACAAGAACGTCAAGATGAGCTGAGACAGCTTAGGCATGAGGTGGAAGACCTCATTGCAATTGGCGAAATCCATATGCTGGAACAAATTCTCAATGAAGCAGTGGAAATCAACCTCACCTCCCAAGTTGACACCTTTATGGGTCTAACATCAATGCCCAGTAGTCGTCTGATACCTAAAGAGGGGGTCCCGTCCAGCCTAATGAATAAGTTTGTGCTAGCGGTGTACAAAACTATTCGTGCTGGCTGGGTGCCGCCTCCACTGACGCCACCGACAACGGTTGCGATTTCTCATAAAGGTGAAGATCGACCTGATCCCAGGGCTATAGGACCACCATCTCAACCCGAGTCAATCTTAAAGACTCGGACACCTAGAACAGATCCGTGGACCCTGAGTGGATCACTGTTCTACGTCATCACAGTGATTACTACCATCGGTGAGTTATTTGCGACGTTTTCCACCTTATCGGATCTAAAAGTGTTATAATAATAACAAAGCGATGTCACTCTCCTCCCTCTAGCCCTTTCCAATATTTCCATGTTTACTTGTTAAAAACAAACTGGGACCAGCATTCCATTCTTGACTGTTTAGCAATCAAGAATTTTCATACCTTGAGAGGATTAGACTTCTCCTCGTCATGCTTGTCCTACCTCATTCATGTTGCCTTAAACCCAGTCCCTTCAGTTTTATGACGGAGTGAAGACTTGGCTGGGGTTTGCAAGGCAGGTATAAGACGAGATCCAGGGCGGTTGCCTATCTCTTGTAGGACTTAGAGGCCCTCCTTTCCCCCTCCTGCCTCCCTCCACCCACACTCCGCTGCCTTATTTAAGAAACAGCATCTGCTAAGTGATTGACTTCCGATCAAAGGCGGGTTGCACATTACACGGCTAAACGAACAAATCAACGTACCAGTGTACCATTGGCTCTTTCTCCCCGGAAAAATCCGATCACTACCCCAGTCCGCATTTATTTCGGACAACATTCCATTCCCTGAGGATCATTCTTTGTGTGAAAGTGTGTGGAATACAGTCTAACTGATCCCCCAAATTGTTCAACTGCCGAAAACCTAACAAGTAAAGTAGAATGTGGGAAAAAAATCCCTCCTCCTTGACAATGCAATGAATCAGTGAAGCGAATGATTTATTTCTGCATGGTAAAGGCGGTTCCATGTTGCCATAAGCAAGTAGACTTAAGGTTTATGGTGAGGTAGGGAAGGAGTAAGGCAGTACTCCACATCTCCCTTCGTAAGACGCCTTCCATAATGTGTTCCTCGATACGGGCATTAGAATGACGTCCTTAATTTAATATCAATCTACTGCTGAAGGAAGTGGCTCCAGAATTATTACCCAAGAGGCAGGAGGGGAGAGACAAAGACTGATTTACTGCAATCATACCCTCCGAAAAAGAAGGAGGGTTCTGCCTGCTTCGCGTGGTTTCCCTTCCAACCGGTGGTCCACGTGAGTGCGTATCTGCTCACCTCCTCTCGTCCCAAAAGGCACATTCAAACTGTGTCTGCTAAACCGCCTTGTCAATTAGTTGCTACACGCAGAGACTTTCCTGTCAAGACGAGAAAAGCAATTAACATTATCACGACAATTCCACCAGTGACTGATTAAGTAGCCAGCAGGTTGGCGACTGGTTATAGAAGATGTCACTTCTAAGTAAAGCCATGAAAATGATGTGGACGAATATAAAAAGGCTTTAACAATCTCCTTTTTGCAAAAAGATTTAGCAGAAGGTGTAATGAATGGTTAGTTGGTGGAAGAAAGTCCAATTGAGCAGTTCATGTTTGGACGAGATCTGTGCCCGCTAGGTCATTTGATTTATCAAGTTAACAAGTGAAGCAACTAAGCAAGGAGCTAAGAAAATGAACAAAAAGGTGATTAAAATGAAGACGCTTACTAACATCTCTTGAGTGCTTACTGACTACTAATTTGTTCTTTAAAAGGTGGCTCAAAAGTTGCACTAATAAATGAAATGCTCTACTGACTGATGGAATTGTTTGTTGAGGAACGAATAACTTAATGAGCCCATTCCTGAGGCAATCAGATAATGCCTTTTGTAAGCAATAAAATGAGGAGGAGGAGGAGAAGCCAAGGAGCACGAAATGCTCAGGCGACGCAGGGCGAACATGAGTGAAGCAACGAGACAGTGGCAAGCAAAAAATCGCGTTATTAATTAAGAAATGACTAAGTGAAGGCCTCAAATGAATCTCGCCTAATAAATGGAATGGAAAAGTGGAACAAAATGGTTGCTCGAGAGGCCTGATTGACCTGAGTGAAGGGGAGCAACGCCCCACGGCCTTCCCACGGAGACTTAAAAGAGGCGCATGAACCCAAATAGGAGAAAATAAAAAGACTAGAAGTGTAGCCCATCAACTGATAAAATCTCTCCATCCAGCACTGCCTCTCTGTCTCCCAATCCCACCCCAAAATGCGCATTTGCCGTCAGTTTAAGTGTTTGTTCTGATGGAGCTGATGCTGATGCTGATTTGATTTTAGTGTATAAAGGTTTGGATTGTGCAGGAAATCACTCCTCATTTTCCCCTTCCCTTTCAGTATGAATTTAAAAAGTAAACAGATCTGCCTTTTGTGTTACCCACCTCCTGCATTGTGATCTGATCTGGCAACTTTTGCATCTCAGAGTAGATCTTTAAAGTGTCTGAATACAAACAAAATAAATAAGTAAAAAAATTGGAGGAATCTCCTGCAACTAGTTTTTTTTGCTAACGAGTGATATGCCAATTTCCGTCACTTGTCAAACATTTTACTGAAATATTGCCAAAAAATTTATTTCCTCGGATGACATACGGTGACAGTCAAGGCTTAGGGAAGGCGTAGGAGGCTGTCAGCGTCTCTCCTCATCTCCACTCTCGAGTTTGAGTTAACCTTGATGATTTGAGTTTCCGTGCCCGGGAAGTTGTACTAACTTTAAACTCCAAAAATGAAGATGCTCCTCCCAAAATGTAAACAAAAGGAAATGCCTCTCGCCAACTCATTCAGAATGTAAGCAGAGACTACTCTTGACATTGTCAAATTCCAACAATCTTCCTCAACGCACATCTCTGATTACTTTTTTTGTCTTCACGTCTCTCAAGTTCTACGCCCATTTGATCTTGGAACAGTTCCCAATTGAGGCATTTCTGCTGCTCCTCAAATCGCATCCCAAACAGATTAAAATTTCAATCATTTGATGGCTTTGACAAGTGATGGAATTCTTTATCACTCAGGTCAACTGATAGCCAAAACTTCGACAATTGGGGGTCATCTCGCTGTGTAAAGGTCAAGTCTTTTGAAAATCTCTTTTAAATTTCATTTTCCTCTTTTAGCATTAACCAAAGAGGAGGCAAACGGGCTGCATTTATGGGTGTAAATGCATTAAAAGTTGAGACAGACAAAACAAGCCACCATATCTGATCGCCACTTCACTGATGAAGTTGCTTTTGCCTTCTGTAATATTTACGCTCGAGGGGAAGGAAATGCAAGTCAAAATTGCCTTTTATGTGTGTGTTTGTATGGGATGGAATGATGCATTGCTCCCACTCCTCTTCCTCCTCCTCCTCCTCCTCCTCCTGTCTTGCACGGCCTCTTACCATCCCTCTCCCCACCTTCCGCTCCCTCTTTGCCTCTTTCTAGGGATCCAGTCCAACGTCTGTGGTCAAGACCTTTGGTATTTCATCGGTCTGATATTTACACCATATTTTGGGCTTTTTGGGATGTTTGAGGAAAATAAGGGAATTTTTTCATTTCTTCTGTTGTTTCATTGATTGCAACGAGAATGTGATGCCTTCCTTGTGGGTGGCTGCACAGGAGGACCGCTTGTAAGGCGATGCATAGGCGAGACTACGGAGAAAGCAAGTGGATCCTAAGCCAAATGGCTAAATTCTTTTCTTCCTAATCCCTAATTGGATGTTATTTAGAAGTTGGGAGGATCAACATTTTCCTCAACCCTCATCCCAACGAATGCAAAAGCTGACTTTTGATTCATTTGCACTATCTGATCATTGAATGTCTGCTGCACAAAATGAAAGGTAACAGAGCTTATCAACAACTCTCACCCCGGCGATGGTGCAACTGAATGAAAAACATGTTTAAATTCCTCCCTTTTATTCACTCTTTGACGTCCCTGCAAGGAGGCCGCCGGAACGAAAAGATCTTTACCCTCCTTCCACTCCTCCGTCATCAACATTTTGCTTCTCTCGATTTGTCACTTTTTCCTCAGGCAGAATTACTGCAGTTTTAAAAGGAAAAAAATCCTGACGATACTGCTTTGTAATTAGCTACCTTCTAAGGCTTGAAGCTGAGTTTCGAGGAGCTCGAAGAAGAAGTAATTTCGTAGAAGCCTATCTAGGTTCATGGTATACTTACCCTTCAACCAAGTCCTCAGTAAGCAGAAAAGTTCCCTTTTTTGGAGGAATCAGATTTCAATTTTTTTCCTTGTTCACAGGCTACGGACAGGTTGTTCCAGTAACAAGGTACGGTCGTCTGGCAACCATATTCTATGGTCTCTTTGGAATTCCAATGATGCTCCTCTTTCTTGCAAATCTGGGTAGTCTGATGGCGGATACCTTCCGAATGCTCTACAAATCTTTGTGCTGCTGTTTTATCTCAAATAAAAAACGCGATTCTCCAGCTCAACTTCCTTCCACGTCTTGCGGTGGCGTAAAGCGTTCTGCTATCAATGGCTCCGGTTCACCTTTGACACTTCGAGACAAACCTGGACGAGCTGGTTTCAATGGTTCGCCTCAAGTGCCTCAAGGTTTAGGGGGTAAAAAAGGCTCAACTCTACAGGAATTGGTGAAAAAGACAGCACCTCTTCCAGGCGTCACAGAGAGCCTATTCATTACTCTGGCTGGATCCAATTCCGTCTTTACCAAAGCCCTTCAAGCACGAAAAGAAAGCCGAAACGTAAGGGTTCCAGTGTGGTTAATTCTTTGTATATTCACTTTCTACATGATTTTGGGCGCCCTAGTGTTTGCTTACTGGGAGCAGTGGACCTTCCTGGATGCCATGTACTTCGTCTTTGTCACCGTCTCCACCATTGGATTTGGGGACATGCTTCCAGGTATTGACGATCCACATCCGATTAATAGGCTGAATAAGTTCATCGCAGCCAATGTCTACCTTCTCTTCGGGCTGGCCATGGTAGCCATGTGCTTTGATCTCATGCAACTGGAGGTGAAGCGAAGCTCCAAGAGATTAGCCCGCAGAATTGGACTCATAAGTAGTATGTGATACGGTGAACAACACCTCGCCATTTAATGCTTGGCTTCCCAACTTTTCAATCATGACATTCACACCTACATTTTGTGCTAATGGCTCCATTTAAATGCATTGTTATTACTTATCAGAAATATGTGAATCACTTTTCTGGTTGAAGTAAAAAGCGTTGCAATTTAGCATTGGCCAAATTTTTCCTTTTTTGGATAATTGACATTTGTAGCTCTTACTTGGTCAACCAGGAATCCCTCTGCAGACATAGTCCCTAAAGAATTTTCCAAAGTCAATGACAGACACTGGGAGGAAATGCGTATTTTAGCTCTGCTTTGCAGCTGGGATCTGCTAACGATCCAGAGGCCAAGCTGCATTGCATAGACCAAAGATCAAAGACTAAAAGTCCACAAAGTGAGTAAACAAGCAGCACAACAGGCAAGAGAATGCAGATAAGTTCATTGGTTGTTCAAAAGCAAAAGTGCCAACGCCTTACATTGCTCTTTACTGTGACTCAGCTTGAGAGATTGTAAAAATGTGTCAAATTGAGGCTGTGTACGTCAGGAGTGACGCAGACGGGTTATCCCAACTGAACCTGAGTACGCATTGAAAACCAACCTTTTAATGTGATTAATGAGGAGATGAGGGCTTAAAGCGGAAGCCTAGTACATGGAAAACATGAAAATTGTATTCAAAGACCCAGGAGAAGGATTAAGTATCGACGTCTTCTTGCCACATTTCACTAACATTTTTCTGCTTCCTCCTTGCATGGGGTTTAGGTTAAAGACAAATCGAAACTACATCTACGTGGTTTCAAAGCTAAAGAAAAAAGTGGTCACGATGCGGTCACAGCTCCGTAATGCAGCAGATTTTGCTCCGATTTACATGTGCGACTCAGTCCACTCTCAACACGACTAAAATATGACTTCCAATATTATCTATAGAATGGAAAGCGCAATAAATACAATGTAGCAATTACGCAAAGATTTAAATGACACTTTCAAAGTACTACAATCCGGAGGCGAAATTCCATCAACTGATGCCACCAACTGAGCTTCGCTCAGCCAACACTTTTCTTTGGTGGAGCTACAAGAGGATGCGCTGTCAATCCGAAAGTAGAGTCAGGTTATCGTCTCCAATTCGTAGGCGTGTAATATGAGCAAAGCAGATTTCAATATATGTCACAACAAATCAGTACAGTTAAGGTCTGCATCATTTATTAAAAGTGAACATGGCCTTAGTTTACGATTGAAAGTTGAACCCTTGCCATGGTGAGAGCAACATAAACATGACTAATGCAATTAATAACATAATCCTATACAAAATATATTAATTACTACTGCTGAAGAAGGGATAGAATTAAGGGTGCAAATTAGGCGAAGAAAGGGAGAGGAGACAAGTTTTGGCTTCAAGCACAGACGTCTGGTGCGCCATAGACCAGGACAGAGGCAAAAAATAGCGGCTTTGCATGACGGGAAGGCGGTTAACACCATGTCCTGGATACATAGGAAATGACGTATGAGTGTTTTTTATGAAGACTAGGTCAAAATTTTGGTGGACAATAAGAAGGCCAAACGTCTGTGTGAAAAAGAAAACGTGAAAGAAGTACGCTAAAATGTAGGGAGGTTTTAATGGGTTCATTGGATCAAGTGTTGATACCAGAGTTAATAAAGTAACATTTTAAAAAACCTGAACAATGCGGGTCAAACAAGCAAACTAAGATGCACATCAAAGAAAAATATGACCAATGATTGTAATAACAGTTTTACAAACGGTGGTTAAAAAGACGAAATTTCCCTAGCTATATGCTAAGTTATTATATTCTTAAAATCAAATCACAAATTAGCAGCATATACCAAAAAATTCAGTACATGCATAAAAAATTAAAATGATAAGTGATCTTGTTTTAACTGGTAAAACTCTTTTAAGGACCATTTTATCCAATAAACTAGTGGTTTCTGTTAATCCGCGCTTTTTGTGCTTGGGTCTTGTCTCGTTTACAGTAAGTTGGTACCTAGTCACGATTCGATATTTTCGCTTCGTCCCCATTGTTCTATTTGAGAGTTTCTGTGGTGTTTTGATTTTTCGAAATTATTACTTGTCACATTTGTCTCCGCTCGACGCAAATCCGACATATTATACAAGTAATTTTTCGTATTCGTGCCATGTCTTCAGATTTTATATGCTAGGTGGTCTTCTGTAATATAGAAACTCCTCATGCCATTATTGTCACTTGGGCGGCTTATTGACGTCGTTTTTGGTCGATGCCAAACTTATTTCAAAAATAGCGTAT